CGCCCCGCTCGGGCCCTCCCGCGGCCGCCAGACCGCGCCGCGCTTGCCTGGCGGGCAGCGGCACACGTAGCCTCGGAAGGTGTCCACGCAGGCGCTGAGGCGCCCCTCGGGCCCGTCCCGCCAGCACTGGTCGGTGCCGGCGGCGCATTCGTCCACATTGAGGCCGCCGGTCAGGCAGATGGGCGGCTCGCTGCGGCGCAGGCGGCGGCGGCGAATACCAGGCGGCGCGCATGCAGGGGGCGAGTGCTTTTGTCGCTGGCCTGACGGCAGCAAAGTCCTCCTCAAGGCACGGCGGCAGCCCTGCCCAGTCCTGCCCTCCGCGGATCCAGCTGAGCAGCTCCTGACCCCCAGCACACGCGCGCGCGTGCGCACACGGCACAGCAGCTACCGCCACCACGGCACCACCACATAATCGGGGCTGACCCCCAGCACACGCGCGCCCGTGCGCACACGGCACAGCAGCTACCGCCACCACGGCACCACCACATAATCGACCGGCCTCCATGCCCCCGCCCCCCCTTCCCGCAGCAGCCGCCTGCATGCTCCAGAGCAGCGCTGCCCACCTGCCCTCGGAGAAGCCGGCGCACAGCGCGCGCAGCACGGCGGGCGCCGCCAGCGAGCCGCGGTACTGGTCTGCGTTGATGACGACTGTGGGCAGCAGGATGACGCGCCCCCGCCCGCTGCGCGCCTCATCTGCCTGCGCCGCCACCTGTGCCTGCAGGATGGACAAGAAAGGAGGGAAAAGGGAAAGAAAGAGGTAGGAAAGAGGAGGGAAGGAAGTGGGCAAGACGGCTGGGTTGCACCCTCGCGCCACCTCCCTTGCTCGCCACGCTGCCCACTGCTGACCCCTGACCCGGCCCTGCCCCCTCCCCCAGCCCCCTCCCCTCAACCGTAATCAACCAGCCAGCCAACCTCCATGATGGGGTGTGGGCGGTCGGCGTCCGAGGGCCCCATGCAGGCGTTCACCGCCGTCACATCCACGCCCGCAGCCCGCATGACCTCCTCCGCGCACCCGGCATCAAAGCGCCCGGCAGCCATGGTGCAGGCGGCGGCGAAGCCTGCAGGCGGCGGCGCGCCGGGCATGGGCCACTCGCGTGAAACACATGTGCGTGGGGAGAGCCGCAACAATTGGATCGGCGGTGTGCTGCGCCTGCCGGTGCTGAGCCTGCCTGCTGGCCTTCAGCACACAACCATCACACACACCACAGGGCAGCGGCCGCCCTCCGATTCCCGACCCCTGACACCAGGAAGCTACCGGCAGCCTCCCTTCACGGCGCCGCACCCGCTGCATAGTCCCACCACCGCCACGCCTCGTGCTGGGTGTTGTTCAGGGCATCAAAGGCGCACAGGTGGCGCTTGTTCTGCTCTACTACCTGCACCGCCGGCGATTCAACAGGCAGCGGGTTGGGGCGCAGCGGCGGCAGCAGGAGCAGGAGGAGGAGGGCGGCTGCATCCAGCAGCAAAGAAGCAGCACCGCGTGGCGCTCCCCGCCCCGGCCGCAATCGCGGCTGCGGCATGCCAGGCTGAGGCGACGCCACGATTGAGTGCCTCGACTGAGCTGCTGCATCGGGCTGCTGCAGTTGGGCTGGTGCGACAGCCGCCCGCTGCCGCCCGCCTCACCTGGGCGCCGCTGTACTTCCTGGTGTACCGCTGCGGTACCGACGTCACCGCGCAGTACCTCCCGCCGTGGATGCAGCCGGCTTCGCACTCTGGAGCGCTGGGACCAAGCGGAGCAGGCGCGAGTCATGACGTGAGGGGTGAAGAGCGTGTGCTGCTCCTGCAGGAAGGAGGGCAGGCAGGAAACCCTACTAGGAAACCCTGAACAACAAAGAAGGGCAGCAGGGCTACACACACACATGGATGGGGGCGGGCTCCTGGCGTGCCCTGCCAAGCCTCCCGCCACCTGGCACTCCCCCCCCCCACACACAGCCCCCGCGTGCACTTGCTGGCGGCCGCCCGCTCCAGCACAGCTGCTGCCCACCCGCTCCAGCGCCTCTGCCGCGTCCTTGAAGGCGGGGAAGAAAGCGCGCATGGAGTCGCAGGCCTGGCCGCACCCGTCCTGGGCAGTGAACCACAGCTCCCACTCCACCCTGCAGCAGCCAAGCGGGCCGGTGAGGCGGCAGCGCGGTGGGCCGCTGTGGCATAGCTGGCAAGTGGGCCGGTGGGGCGGCAGGCCGGTGTGCCAGGCTGCCAGCAGGCTGGCAGCAGGCCAGTGGGCTGGCGGGCGAGCGCGCTGGCAGGGCAGGGCATAGCGCCGGGGCGCCGCAGGCGGGGCGGGCGGGGCCAGTGCGCTCCGCCAGGCGGGTAGGGAGGCCAGCAGGCACCCTGCGGGTGGCCGCCCGCTCTCGCCTGCCCCCCCCAGGCCAGATGCCCGCCTGCCTGCCTCGGGCCCTGACTCCAGCCCTTCCGGCCCGCCAGCCGGAGCCCCCTCCTGGCGGCTGCCCCGGCCTGGCGGCTGCCTGGCGCAGCGGAGGTGTGTGGAGGCGCTGATCCGCACCTGGCGTCGGGGTGTGCGATGCTGTCGCTCCAGTCCAGCTCCACCTCCACCTCCGCCTGGCTCCCCCCCGCCTGCAGCACAGACTTGATGCGCTCGCCGGCGGCCTGCGCAGCAGCAGTGGGCAGCGGGGGTGGTGGGTGGGTGGGTGGGTGGGTGAGCGGGGGCGAGGCGGGGGCGAGGCGGGGGCATGTCGAGGCGCGCAGCGCGGCGCAGATGGTCTGGCCGGGGCTCGGCCGGGGCGACACAGGACAGCCTGCCGGCCCGCCCAGCTGGCAAGACGGTTTGCTCGGTGCTGAGCTGGCGGCGCGCCTTGGTGACCAGTACCACCGGGATCGTTATCTCCGGTACCAGCGCCGCCACCTCGGGACGGTCCTCGGGCACAGCCATGGTCAGCAGCGGCTCCTGCAAGAGGGCCAGGCAGGCGGGCAGGCAGGCAGGCAGCAGGGCGGCGGTGCCTGGACGGGCGGGCACGTGGCGTGCTCGCGAGTTGGGGAGAGGGCCCCGCTCCCACTCGGCTGCCAGCCAGGCTCCCAGCCAGGCTGCCAGCCAGGCTGCCAGCCCTGCAGCGCCGGCGCTCCCGCCCGTGGTGCAGGGTCTGGTGGGGTGGTCCGCATGCGGCCCCCACCTCGGCGTGTGGCCTGCCAGCCTCCCGCCCCAAGCAGCGCCTGCTGCCTGCCAGAACCCGGGCAGCACCCCACACCCCGCCGCTGCCTTCCACCCGGCAGCGCGCTTTCCACCCGCCAAGCACTTTCCACCCGCCAGCGCGCTTCCCACCCGCCAGCGCTTTCCACCTGGCCCCCCACACCTCTGTGTGGTCTGTCACGATCAGCGCCTTGGCACCCGCCCGCTGAGCGTAGCTAGCCTTCTCCACAAAGAAGCAGTCTGCGGCAGGAGGGAGGGGTGGAAAGCACGTGAATGGAGCACACGGAGGCGAGGAGCGGGAGCGCGGCAGAGCCGCGGGAGCGACGCGGCAGGCTGCAGAAAGGGGCAGGGCAGGCTGGGCGCTCGCGGGCAGGGGCCCGCTGCTCCTCTCGCCGGCCGCGCGGGGCCGGCCCAGGTTTAAGTGTGTTTTATTATTGTCATTTTCAGCGCCGCCGCTCACCGCCGCGGTCCACTAGGAGCACAGTGGGCAGGTCGCCCGCGGGCAGCGGCGAGTCAAACTCGCGGCAGCCCAGGCCGTTGCTGCTGTTGTACAGCACGGTACCGCCCAGCGTGCCTCCGTACAGCGGGACGCCAAACTGCGGGAGGGAGGCAGGGGGATGCGCAGCTGGGTGGGCGTGCATGGCAGGGGACGGCGGGTGGGAGGCCACGTGAAGCTGCGGGCGCGTGCATGCCGAGCCGGGCCGAGCCAGGCGCTCACGTCGCCCACGGCGGTGTCGTATGCGCCCGCGATGTGCGCAGGGGCGCGGATGCGGAGGCTCCCCTTCTCCACCACAAACGAGGCGGCCCTGGCGGCCGCCGCCGTCGCGGCGCAGCACAGGGCCAGGGCGGCGGCCAGCGCCAGGCGAGGCGCGGCGCCAGCGGGGCTGGCGGCGCGGCGCATGGCGGCCGTGGGGCTCGGCCTCGTGCCCAGGCTGGGTGTTCGGGAGCAGGGCAGGGGGGCACGGTGAGCACGCAGGCCGTCCAAGGCTGCTGCTGGACGGTAGGGGCAGCCCTGCGAAAGCAATGAAGCTGAAAGGGGCAGAGGGGAGGTGCGGTAGAAGGTGGGTGAGCTGGCAGGGAAGAAAGCGCCTGCGTTGCTGAGCGCAGACCTGTACACCTCTTGGACTTGATAGCGAGGCGCTGGGCCCCAGATGCCTTGCTTCCCCTGTTGCCCTGTGCGTGAGCAGCTACTGGAACCAGCAGCTTGTGAAGTTTACGCGGGCATGAATGCAGGTGCATGAGCGGTGGCGGCTGGCAGCGCTGGATCCCAGGCTGCTGGAAGGGCGGCGGGCGCCCTGCCGCCATCTGCAGCCCTGCCGTCAAACTTAGCCATTTACATCCCAATGCCTGAAGGTGCAGCCTATTCAATCCGGTGGGTAACTAAGGGATGTGCCGAAGCATGCAAAGGGGAGGGGACCGGTGCGATAATGACGCCACGCATCACGAGTCAATGGTGCGCCACATTGGTGCAGGACCAGGTGTGCAGTGGCGGGTGAGATTCTGGGTGAAAAGGGGCACATGACCTCAGGAAGGGACTCCCCGCCTGCCCGGCCCGGGCAACATGGGCCAGGGCAGCTAGGGTGAGGCGAGTGTGCCACGTCAGGCGAGCGAGAGCAAGGAAAGCGGCGCTGGGGAGCAATCAAGACTGGGCCAAAGGTGTGCCCAACATGACAGCATTCGTGGCATGAAGAT